TGAGTGGAGAGAAGGGAGTGTGTCAGTGGGTGAGTTAGTAAGTTTCAATGGTAGATTTTGTGGCGTCGTTAGCGAGGTATGCGCCGGCGGGGGGTGGGGGCATGGATCGAATGTGGAGTAGTAGCAGGTATTGGCTGTCGACGTGTATGAAGCTGCCTCAAGATTTGGCATCTGCCCGCCCCCGCCCACCCACCATCATTGACTCTATCTTACAGCATCATCTCGTCAGTAGCGAGATGAAATAATAATAATAATAATACCTAATAATAATAATAATAATAATAATAACGATCGAAATTTAGCAGGATGTTGAATACTAAGACGAGAATTGTGCAGTGGTGGTTGGAGCCCCTTGGCTTGCTATATCAAGAATGGTTTTGAGAAGAACCTGCAAGGAACTCCCTGGCCACGACACACTGCCCAAGAAGTGCAGCAAATCGCGCTACTGGGAACAGCACACATTCCTGCGAAAAATCTGATTGAATCTATGTGCCAGGGTGGGGACACGGCCCACCCAGAAGCACGCGGATAATGGCCGTGATCCACTTTGGAAATACTAATAATAATAATAATAATGTATACTAATGAATTATTCGTGGTGACGAGTTGTGTATGTCTTGCCTTCCCTTGTATTCGCACGGAGTACGAGGCGGGCGGGACTTGCAGCGCACTGCGGCATCGAGTGAAGCTCGTTGACGTTATGTAGTCAACATCACCAGAGTTCCCGCGTAGCACTTCTATATGGATTCTTAGTATTTTAGCAACGCATGATATTTCATTGACCTCACGCCGAGTGTATGACTACTCAGCACGCAGCGCACGCACGCACACGCAGTTGCGCAGACGCACCACACAGCACGCGACGCAGCACAACACGCGCGCGCACGACGCTACAGGCCAGGCACTGCACTGGGGGACTGTTCCGTCTCGAATCTTCTGGCGGCAAAGGCTTAAGGGCGACAGTGGACACATCAATGAAACGCGGGGGGGGGGGTGCAAATTCGATTGCGATCTACGAACGTATCTGATACAATATATCATAAGTAATATAGGCTTACGCTGTGCCGCTCCAACATTTGCCGTAAATTGGATCGCGTATTCTTTTATTTCGTGTAATGTAATCGCGACGCTCGCCGGTAAGCAAGGGTAAGCAACGAAGGAGGCTTAGCCCTGTATGATTGCACGCGCCAGAGATTTTAATCGATCGTGATTTAAATAACTAGACTAGAATTCATCAAACCTTATAGGCGAACCGAAAAGTGTGTATATATATATTTATCGCGTATATATACATATGCATGCCTTGCTTGGAATAGTATTATCTTGGATTTAATCATCCTCTTATAAATCTCTCCTGTATCAAAACAATATATTTGAAAATTCATTATATTATCGGAGTGCTAGAGCGGTAGTGAATGTATGACAGTGGGCTTTCTGAACCAGCTCGTGAGAACGCTCTCTGAGTTTGAATTAGAGGCAGTGCATATAGATGTTGTGTTCGTCGTTGGCAGCAAGCCGCAGCAAGCAATGCTGTGAATAAGCGCACAAAAGACGCGCGCACGCCGCGTGTGATACGTGAAATGAGTTGTGGGCAAACATCCGCACCGTTGTGCTCGCGCTTAAAAACCGTCATGTTGATCATCATCTACCACTACTGACTATCTACTGGGTATAGGAGATTCGATACATAGTATTAGTATCATTACGTATATCAAATAATATATATATAGTGTATATATATAGATTGTGTGCGTGTGTGTGTGTGTGTGTGTGTGTGTGTGTGTGTGTGTGTGTGTGTGTGCGTGCGTTGCGTGGTGCGTGCGTGAGTTGTGTGTGTGTGTGTGTGTGTGGTGTGTGTGTGTGTGTGTGTGTGTGTGCGTGGTGTCGTGTGTGTGTGTGTGTGTGTTGGCGCATCCTGTGTGTATGTGTGTATACTGTGTGTTATGTGTGTATGTGTGTGTACGCGCGCATGTGCGTGTGTGAACGCGCACACGCTGAGGCCACCACCAGTTATACATCAATGGTAATCAAGTTTACCCCGAAATTCTTCAGCCAGCAGCCGCCCTCGGGACACGAACGAAATTAAGACGCGTATTTGATCTTCCGATGAAAATTCTCTCCCCGCGAGCGATTAATAACCATCGGCGGCATCGACAGCGAGGTCAGGGAGAATATATGCGGTCCTGCATGTATAGGTAGGCAGGAGTGCAAGCTGTGGGGGAGGTGTGGGAGGTGTGGGAGGGGGTAGTCCCCTATCGGTATACCTCTCCTTGCTTTGCCTGGTAGCAGACGTCTCCTGTATTTTTTTGCCAAGCGCTCCTTTACCCCATGCACTATACGCGTCTTTCCCGCGGGGTTGCGAACGATACGGGTTTCCGAGGAGGAGTAAGGGGAGGAGGGAAGGGGGAAGAGGAAGAGGATGAGGATGAGAAGTAAGAGGATGAGGAGGAGGAGGCGGAGGAGGAGGAGGAGGAGGAGGAGGAGGAAGAAGAGGAGGAGAAAGATTGGAGTTTTTCGTTGTATCCGTATTTAACAGGGAACGGCTCGCTTGCACATGCTCGAACTCACGTTGACCCTCATCACACCCCACGCCCACCACACAACACTTCCACCAACCCACGCGCACTCACCCCACCACACACGCAGTATCACGCGCGACACACAAACAACACCGCGCGCATACTCGCTGTGTGATTCAGTCGACTTGGTTATCTGGCATCGCGCGCCCTCCCGCGCAATATGAGGAGCATGCCAGCAGAGCATCACTTCCTTGCCACGTAGATTCATACATACATACATACATACATACAATACATAATCATACATATCATACATAACATACAAATACATACATCATGTCATGCATGCACGCAGCATCCCGCAGCACGCACGCACGCACGCACGCACGCAGCACGAGCACGCACGCACGCACGCACGCAACCACACACACACACACCACATACATACATACATAATACTACATACATAAGCCAGTACATACATACATACGATAATACATCCACATACATACATACATACATACACACATACATACATACATACACACACACACCACCACACACACACACACATCACATCACAACACACACACACTGGGACACACACACACACATACATACATACTACATTCACGACAGCTAGTGCTTGTCAGATGTTCATCGACTCCCATTGAGTGGCTGTCCGATTTCTATGTCGTTCGTGTCGCGTGCGGTCTGGGGGTCGCCTCTGTAACGTACCCTCGACAGCAGCAAGCGGCAGGCAGCCGTAGTAGTAGTAGGGCACAGCAGCAGCAGCAAGCAGTAGTGGTATGGCAGCAGCAGCCAGCAGGCAGCAGCAGCAGCAGCAGCAGCAAGTAGTAGTAGTAAGTAGTAGTGGTAGTTAGTGCAGCAGCCGCAGGCAGTAGTAGCAGCAAGCAGAGCAGCAGCAGCAGCAGCTATGCATAACAGTAGGGCAGCACCGTAGGTAGTAAGGCAGTAAGCAGCACCCGTAGGTAGTTAGTAGTAGTAGTAGTAGTAGAGTAGTAGTAGTAGTCGTAGTAAGTAGCTAGTAGTAGTAGTAATTAGTAGTAGTAGTAGTAAGTAGTAGTAGTAGTAGTAGCGGCAGCAGGCAGATGCAGGCCGTAGGCAGCAGCAGCAGCAAGTACGTAGTAGTAGGCAGCAGCAGCGTGCAGGCAGCAGCACAAGCAGCAACAGCAGCACGTAACGTAGTCAGCAGCAGCAGCAGAGCACGCCAAGCAGCAGCAAGCAGCAGCAGTAGCAAGCAGACAGCAGTACAGCGCAGTAGGCAGTAGAGTAGCAGTAACAGTAAAGCAGCAGCAGCAGCAGCAGCCGTAGCCAGCAGTAGCAGCAGCAGGGCAGGCAAGCCGAGCAGCGAGTGCAAGACAGCAGTAGCAGCAGTAGTAGTAGCAACAGCAGTAGCAGCAGTAGCAGCAGCGAAACAGCCGTGTGTTCTATATTGACGAGCAGTTATATGGGCTTGTCTTCTGCTCGCTGATACGTGTCGACAATATGCAGCACGCGGGTTACTCGCGCTGGGTCATGTGCTCCGAGCGATAAGCTACACCTATAAACGACAGCGATTTATTTATAGAGATAGTGTGTAATTGAATGAATGACTCATCGAATGAAAAATAAATGTAAACACACGCATATATATATACCCCCAAATGCACGCTCGCACGCGCGCATGCACACACACGCATACACGCTCACGTGCGCACGTACACACACACACACAGACGGGCACACGCACACGCACTCAATATGAAATATGTATTTGTTCAAGTGCAACTGTGTTCTTCCACTATTAGCCCCCTATTTTGCGCTTCTAGCTTTCTCACATGACGCCGCGACTGCAGGAAAGCCGTCCATCCATCACTCGACACACGACGCACGCGCGCACGCACGCACGCACGCACGCACGCACGCTCTCACCCACCCATCCCGATCATCTTTAAATAGCAGAACCCTCCGGTTTCGTGCATCTTACGCGACAACGTCTCATGGCGTGACGAAGTTGCGTGGTTCGAGTGCGCACAGCCATCCTACACCCGAGCAAGACTCGCGCTCGCGCACACCCGACTGTCAGGGGACCGGTTGATGGATTGGTGATTACAGTTGTCATGGCGACGACGGCGTTGATTGACGGCAATGGGGAGGTGATCTGCGGAGCCGTCTGGCTGCCAGCTACACAGTGCGTGTGTAACTCGTGTTGACGGCCAGACGAACTAAGAATCGCATTCGCTTGCTCTCTCCCTCTCGCTCTCTCTCTCTCTCTCTCTCTCTCCCGCGCGCTCGCTCTCTCGCTGACGGCGTGTGTGCGACCCGTACTCACTCACACACACGCAAGCACAGACAGACACGCAGTATCTGTCAGTTAGTGCCGCGCTGTGCGTCCACGAGAATATCGCACCTACGTACTGAAGTGTGTGTGTGTGTGTGCACCGGCAGCAGCGGCAGTAGCGGCAGCGGCGGCGGCAGCGGCAGCGGCGGCGGCGGTGGAAAACGTCCTCCGACTGCGGCGTGTGTGAGTGTGTGTGCGCACGTGTGACGCACGTAGGACGGGGGAGTAGTATCGCTATAGTAGTAGTACTAGTAGGTAGCGTGCGTGTGAGCGCGCGCGACTGTGTAGACCAGCGGCTAACGTTAGAGTTCGTCATCTCTGTGAGCGACAGCGGCAGCGCGTTACTGTAGCAGTCCGACTCACGGCCGCTCTCGCTGCACACGCGCTCGCAATACGCGCGCACGTACACACATGTGGTCTCTAAATAGGTTGTGTTTGTGAGTTGGCGATAAACAGTACGAAGGACGGCGGACCGTGTACAGAGTGTAGTGTAGTGTAGTGTAAGTCTGTGTGTGTGTCCGCGCGCGCGCGCGCGTGTGTGTATGTGTGTGTGTGCATACATACACAGCAAGCACAGATAATATCACTTGGATTACGGCCGCTAGCCACGCTCGGCGGCCAGTGAACATGTATCAGGCGTACGACGAACCGGCGGCGATGTCGGCCGGCTACCCGGGCGCCATGGACATGCCGACGTCGTCGGCGATGTACGGAGATCCGCACGGACATCGGCAGCACGTCGGCCACGGTCAGCACCTCAACCACACGCCGCACCACTTACCTCACCATCACCAGTATCCGAGTCATGCGAGCAACCACAACCCGGCGTCGCATAGTGTTATGGGCAGCGTGCCTGACGTCGATAAGCGCAGTAAGGACTATATCTACGGGTAAGATAAATGCGTGTGCATCCTATCTCTCAGCTTTCCTCCTTTTTCTCTGTGCAGTTTTCGCGCATACATCCCAACTCTCTCTCTTTCCCTGTCTATCTCTCTCTCTTCTCTCGTCTCTCTCTCTCGTCTCTCGTCTCTTCTCTATTTCTCTCTCGTCTCTCGTCTCTACTGCTTGCTCTTCTCTCCTCTCATCTCTCGTCTCTCTCTCTGGTCTCTCTCTCTCTGCTGGTCTCTCTGTATGCGCGCCGCGCGTGCGTGTGTGTGTGTGTGTGATGTTGTGTGTGTGTGTGTGTGTGTGGCTGTGTTGTGTGGTGTGTTGTGTTGTGTGTGTGTGTGTTGTGTGTGTGTATGTGTGTCTGTGCGTGCGTGGCGTTTTTTGTTTGTTTGTTTGTGTTGTGTGTGTCGTGTGTGCTGTGTGTGTTGTTGTCGTGTGTGTGTGTGTGTGCGGATGTGTGTGTGCGCGCCGCGCTGTGGGGGGGGGGGCGTACGGCGGCGCGCATGTGTGGTATGGGTGTGTGTGTGTGGTTGTGTGTGTGTGTGTGTGTGTGCTGCGTGGTGCGGCGCGCCGCCGGTGTCGTGTGTGCTGTGTTGGTTGCGTGCTGTTGTGTGTGTTGTGTGTGTATGTGTGTGTGTCTTGTTTCTGTGTGTGTGGTGGTGTGTGTTTGTGTGTGTGTGTGTGTTGTGTGTGTGTGTGTGTGTGTGTGTGGTGTGTGGTGTGTCGTGTCGTGTGGCGTGCGGTATGTGAGCCGTAGCGCGTGTGCGGGTGCGTGCGGGCGCGCGCCGTGTGTGCGTTGAGTCTGTCTGCCTCTTTTCTCTCGGTCTTCTTTTCTCTCTCTGCTCTCCTCTTTCTCT